GATCCCCTAACATTTCCCCTGTACCAGACCTCTCTCCAAACCTGTACTGTGTCTATCAAGGCATCTCCTTTCTTGCCCTCCTCTATTCCTCCCCTGTCTCAGTCCTCTTGTTCTCCTCCCCCTCCCCTTGTTGTCTTCCCACCTCCTTCCTCTTCCCCCTGCCATGCTCCCACTTTGCTCAGGGGTTCTTGTCCCCCTCTCCTTCTTGGAGGGACTATGCAATCTTCTCGGGGTCCACCTTGTTTCCTTGCTCCTCTGGTACTGTGCATTGTAGACTGGTAATCCTTTGCTCTATGTCTAAAAATCATGTATGAGTGAGTACATGCCATGTTTGTCTTTTTGTGACTGGGTTACCTCACTGAGGATGGTTTCTTCTAGTTCCATCCATTTGTATGCAAATTTCAAGATTCCATTTTTTTTTCTGCTGAATAGTACTCCAATGTGTAAATGTACCACATTTTCTCTATCCATTCTTCAGTTGAGGGGCATCTAGGTTGCTTCCAGGTTCTGGGTATTACAAACAATGCTGCTATGAACATAGTTGAACACGTGTCCTTATTGTATGGATGTGCATCATTTGGGTATATATGCCCAAGAGGGGAATTGCCACAGTCAGCAAGACAAAACACCAGCCCCCACAATGGGAAAAGATGTTCACCGACCCCACATCTGACAGAGGGCTGTCAAAATATACCAAAATATACAATGAACTCAAGAAGCTAGCCACCAAAACACCAAACAATGCAATTAAAAAGTGGAGTATAAAACTAAAAAGATAGTTCTCAACAGAGGAATCTAAAATGGCTGAAAGACACTTGAGAAAGCACTCAACATTCTTAGCCACCAGGCAAATGCAATTCAAAACAACTCTGAGATACCATCTTACTCCTGTCAGAATGGCCAAAATCAATAACACCAATGACAGTCTATGCTGGAGAGAATGTGGAGAGAGAAGAAAACTCCTCCATTGCTGGTGGGAGTGCAAACTTGTACAACCACTTTGGAAATCAGTATGGCAGTTTCTCAGGAAAATGGGAATCAGTCAATCCCCAGATCTATCAGTTCCACAGTTGGAAGTCTTTATGACCGAGTGAAAAGGTCCTGAGGCAGATAAAGGCTCAAAGTTACTAAAAGACCAGTGAAATTGAATCAATAAATGATGGGGACATGGAGCTGGGAAGAGGAAGTGGAACGAAATGAGTCTAACTGACGTCTTCAGCCCGTGACTGTTACAAAGTTGAGATTTCATGCTGAAGACAATGGGAAATGATGACATATAAGCAAGGTGCATCTGTTTATGTGCTGACCACCACTCTTGGCCCCCTGTCTCTCTGTGAATCTCAACAAGGGGAAGTGTCAACAGATTTTGAGAAACTAAAATGAAATGATTTGCACAATTAAAACAGGTTGTATGCATGTGAGTATATGCTTGGACACCCAGGTGTGTGCGTATTCCAGTGTGCGTGATAAAATAGGTTTCAAGATCTTAATGAAATCTCAAGGACAATGATCCATGGAGTATCTTCTTCACACCAGAGAAAAAGCAAATGGGAGGCAACAGTTGACCAACATGAAGATGGCAGCTATCTGGGCAGGGTTTGGGCTGCTGAGCACATCTGTCCTAGTGAACAGCCCAGCTGAAATCCTTGCTTGGGGTTGGAGTTCTAATAGGAACTGGTGCTTGTGGAGGTCAAGACCAGAAGGAAAATATCCCCTACATTTTGAAGGAAAAAGAAGACAAGGAGTTAGTCTCCAGTTCTCATTGCCTGTGCTTACTTATACAAAGCTCCCAGCCAGGAATGTCCCCAACTTCAGGCCCCGTGGCAACAGTTGGTGGCTGTGGTAAGCATCAACTCTGTCCCATGCCACTTCATGGTGACCTATTTTGCAGTTGCCCAGCAACAAAGGAAGTTTTGGATATAGAATCCTATGAGGAGGGCCAGATAGCTTTTGGCCCAGTTTCCCTCCCCATTATTCTCCTGTCATCTCTGTCCCAATTGCATTAATTCCTGGGGACTGTGGCCTCTGACAGCTCTGGCCCCCAGTTGCTACACCCCTCACTTTGACAGTTACATAGGAACTTCAGGTTTGACCCACCAGCTGGAAAACCCGGTGTGAAGGAAGAGGGAAAGGGTGTGGAAGGCCTGGAGACAGCAGCCGCATTGTACTCCATCTCTCAGGAGGAACTCTGTCTGCCTTGCAGTTCAGGGTGCCAGCCTGAGGGACAGACCCTGGCTGCTACTGCTCAAGGGCTGAGAGCAGAAATATCCCATGGCTGCCACTGATGTCAGAGCTGTGGGAGAGAATGATTTAAAGAGATGGAGAGAGGCCATTTGGCTGCCCCCAAATCTGATCTACTTTTCTCTTCCATAAATCCAGTGTTCACATAAATCCTCATACTCTCCCATCCCACTCATGCTGGGTTCCTCTGTGTTTTTTCACCCATTCTTCCCCAAAAAAATAAATGAGTGCCCATGTTTTACCCCTTGTAGCTCAGGGCTGTGGCCGAGAGGTGGGTCATGAGAGAAGGTTATTCTCCCCACGACATTTTGGCTGGCAAGTCTTTGTTCTGGTATCAGGTGGCCATTATAGATACTCCTTTATTCATAGTATCTCCCAAAGCTGAATCAATCATCACATCAAATTATAGAATCTCAGGGCTGTGGCCGAGAGGTGGGTCATGAGAGAAGGTTATTCTCCCCATGACATTTTGGCTGGCAAGTCTTTGTTCTGGTATCAGGTGGCCATTACAGATACTCCTTTATTCATAGTATTTCCCAAAGCTGAATCAATCATCACATCAAATTATAGATGTTGGGAGCGGGGGCTGTGGCTCAGCTGGCAGGAGTCTTGTCTATCATGCACAACGCCTTGGGTTCGACCCTCAGCAGTGCATAAAATCAAACGTGGTGGAACATGGTTGTCATCTTAGGACTTCCGAGGTGGAAGTAAGGAGTGAGGATCATTCTTGGCTACATAACATAAAACTCAGTCAAAAGAAAGAATTAGGTCTGGTAAATTATAATTAGGTCTAGTAAAAGTAACTTTCAGTACTTTTGTCAGTAGGCCAGTTAATTGAAAACTTTTTCTGGTGAATTCTTTTAAACTTTCCAAACAAGGGAAGGTGATGCTAGAGAAGGCCACACTTGTTTTGATGACCCTAGTAGCATTGCTAATAAAGTATGGGGTGTTGTGAATCTCAGCAAAGTATTGCTCAGGTCCACTATGTTGCCCATCATTTAGACTGTGTGAATGTGGTCTGGTTCTCATACAGGCTCAGCCTCAGTTTCTCCAGCTACAGAAATGTGCAGTGGGGAATAAAGTGCTGTATAGCCTTTCCATGCTAAGCACCCATCATCTCTGATGTGGAGTGGTTACTGAAAAGTTGGAGAGGCATACCTTGTACATCCTTTGCAGGTTCATGCCACTGCAGTTTGAAAATGCAAAACAATTGGCAGATTTCAACCTTTGGGGCTTCAACAGAAGGATGAAGATCTCTGGCTAGGGAGGCCTTACAACACTTTCATGGCAGGGCATCTTGTCTGAATCAGGAGAAAAAGCTAAACATTTAGCCAAGAGAGTGCAAGCCAGTCTCTAGTCACTTTAGAGTCTCTGAGACCTGAGTTCAGTTGGCTGGTTTTGTCCTTACTTCTTGATTACCAAGTGGTCATTACTTGGTACATCTGTCTTATGACCTTAAGGCAGTTACAGGAGGTTCAGAAATGTGTGGGCACACCTTCATAGGTTTCTCTTCTGGCATAGAGTTTTTTC